GAAACCCAGACGTTAAGACGCTACTCAACAGACAAACAGCCCTAGTTCATGACCTAATGCAATCACACAGAGACAACGAATGGGTCAACTTTCTGAGCAACATTGATCCCACAAGTGAAGGCTGGACAAAAATCTATAAATTAAACAAAAAACTCATGCACAAACGACCAGCTGTACACCCTCTTTCGGACAATCAAAATATTCTACACTATGACGCAGCCGCCAAATCGGAAATATTCGCTGATTCAATGGAAAAACAATTCCAAACACCAGACCACACAACCCAGACGGATGAATTAGTCAAGAATGCCATTGAAGAACATTTTAAAATACCTTATACCAAAAACATTTTCTTCTCCCCCGGAGAAATTCAATACACTATAAAGAAACTACCAAGTCAAAAAGCACCAGGTCCAGATCAATTAACTAACGCCTGTCTCAAACATTGTGACAGGAAAGTGCTACTACAACTATGTAACATTCTCAACACCTGCACGAGACTGGAATACTTCCCACAAAAATGGAAGCACGCCACCATAATCATGATCCCAAAGCCAGGAAAGGACGTCAAACGACCAGTTAACCACAGACCAATATCTCTATTAAACACGCTGGGGAAGGTTTATGAAAAACTGATCCTTAATCACTTGCAACACTACTTAAAGGACCATATTAGACCCGAACAATTTGGATTTCGGCCAAGCCATAGTACCACCACCCAACTTGTCAAAATAGTTGATGAAATCTCAATAAATCTAAACAAAAGGGCAAAAACAGCCACAGCATTTATAGACATCGAAAAAGCCTTCGACAAAGTCTGGCATCAAGGTCTGATCTACAAACTAATTCAATTTCAATTACCAATTCAGCTGCTTAAACTCCTCCAATCATTCCTCCAACTCAGGACATTCGAAGTAAGAGTCAACGACTCAACGTCATCATGTAGACCTATACTCGCCGGTGTACCGCAAGGATCGTGCTTATCCCCTCAGCTCTTCTCGGCCTACATTAATGACATGCCCCAGCACAAGGATTCAAAGACGGCTCTATTTGCAGACGATACCATGTTTTACGCTTCCGGACCCACCACTAACTGCGCCGTTAAAAGACTACAAAATCAAATAGATCTAACCTCCACATGGTTCAAAGATTGGAAGGTAACAATAAACCCTACTAAAACTACAGCAGTTCTATATGCAAACAAAATACCTTATCACACAAAAAATATACTAATGGAAGGCAACACTATAAAATGGTCCACCAAAGCCAAATACCTAGGAGTAACAATTGACTCCAAACTACACTTCACTTCCCACATCACAGACACAATGAACAAAACTAAAGCTGCAAAACACTGCCTATTTCCAGTTATCAATAAAAACAGTCCGATTCCCCTTAATATGAAATTATATATATACAAAACCTACCTAAGGCCAATTCTTACATACGCAGGACCAGCGTGGGCCTCCAACATATCAGAAAATTCTTGGAAAAAACTGGAGAGCACCCAATCAGGCTTTTTAAGAACCATCACAGACAGTCAATGGTTTGTAAGAAACTCAACAATCAGGAACTCTGCTGAAATCCCATCCATCAGAAAATATATACAGACCGAGACATCAAAATTAAAATCCACCATCACAAGTTCAAAATTCTCACACATCTCAAATATAAGCAGAAGAACCTCGCCTAAACAATTATTCATAAACAGACCAATCTCCTTCTAAACAAAAAATATCTAACTCATGAACTATCTCACCCCTCACATGCAACCCTCTGAAAGAAGCATCAAAGCTTGGAACAGAGTAACAACAAACAAAGCAAAGCAAAAAAAAAAAAAAAAACCGGTCAAATCATCTTCAACACCAGTCTTCAACATATCTTCTATCAATCAACAAACACTATAGAAGACCCGAAGACCCGAAGACCTGAAGACCCGAAGACTATCAACGCAGCAGCAACATCGACCTGAACGACGTCGGCGAAGCTGATCCGACCTAGCCAGTCCACGACAACGTACCCTGAACGCACCGGTCTAGCGTGATCGCTCGATACCGCCGAGACTCAACAGTACCCGGCATACCTGGCTAACAAGCGCCACTTCACGGACCAGTGACGCCAAGCCTACCGTGTGCATCCAGCGATCAACGACAACGGATAGCCGCCACACCGGGACCTAATTAACCCACCGACGGCAGCGTATAATATAATTATACTCCGACGATCCATTACTGTCAAGTCCACCCGTTCAATCGAGCCCAGTCACGCCGTTGGACGAATACCAAGACACGCCGGGAACCGACTTCGCGACGTAACTTGGCCAATCGACGATTCAGCAAGCCGACACAAGTAATACCACGTTCCCCCCTACGGTGAGCTTATTCGAGTTTCACCGCGAGGAAGAACCGAACCCACACGACTTGCTCGAGTCCGTGCACGGACGGTTCCTACTCTCCCTTATCATTATTGTATTCTTTCTACGAAACATATAGGCAAATCCCGACTACTGTTTTGCTCGCGCCTCTTCAGGCCCGAACCCGCCCGCCGCGGCCGCTTCTTCAAGCCTGCCGCGCGGCCCGGGATAACTTGCCCCGATCATTATAAACATTATTTTAGTGATTATATAATAAACGATACTATAACGATACACAACGCATTGTTATTCACGATCACGGACGTCCCGGAAAGACGCTCCGTATCAGTATTAACATCATGTCGTTACAATTTTGGAACTTTCAAACTCTAATGTTGGTATATTAAACGTTAGTAAGATGGAGAGAACACAGGAGTATACAAAGTCATTATTAGAGTAAGGATTTTGAAGGCATTTGCCTTTTTTTTCTATTGCTCTAAAACGAAGCTATATCAACTACAAATTCGATTTATACTACTACACTGCTATGTACGAAATTTTACATTGCTTTTTTTTTGCTTTTTTTGCATTTTTGTATATTTATGCTTTTTTGGGCATTTTTGGTACATTTTTTCAAAATGTGTTCTAAATAATGTTTGAAATGTTAATTTTTATTTTTATATTAAATAATGTGACTTCCAAGGTAAGGGCTGTAATCGATTTTACCTCGTTATGTTTGATTTATGGGTATATTTATCGATGTAATTTAGATATATTAGATTATTTTATCCTGAAACGAAAATAAACACAAAAATATGGTCTTGCTCTGGAAATTATCTACCTACTCAAAATTACAGTTTAGTATTCGTTGTAACACCGTATAGTTCGTTATTCTTATTTCTTACCGATTGTCCCTCAAAAAATTCCGAAAATTATTAATTGTAGTTCTTGTCTTCGTAATTTTGTACAACAATTTGGTGAAGACATTTTTTCTTGTGACAATGCTGTACTTTTTTGAAAAGTATGTGGTGTTAAAGTTTCTCTTTTTTTGTGATAAATATTTTTTTTAAAAACCTATTTTTATTGCTTTATTAAAGCTTTTTTAGAAGGTTTAGACAGCTTTATTGCTTTTTTAGTTTTTTATTGCTTTAAAATCCGTACTCTACGTAACTGATGTAGTTGTCAAAATCGTGTTTGTAGGGTTTTTTTCCAGATTAAATATTCTCGATACGTCGAAAACTAAAACAACAGTGAAACGTAAATATTTCAGTATAGAATTTATACTATCGGAAAAATACGTTCTTTCAGAACATTTTTATCCGTCAAATGATCACCAATAACGAATAAAGAAGAAACGTGTTATTATTATTTATGTATAATAGTTAATAATAGTATGGTGAAAAAAATAACTTATAATATTGAATTAAATCTAAAATAATTAAAACTGTAAAGCAATATTTTCTATTTATTTGAATAGTATTACTTTCATCTTCACTGCAATTACGTGTATTTCTGAAATTATAACAATTTTATTCCATTTACTTTTGTGTAAAATGCAAAGTTTTGTTATACTCATATGCGTTAATATTATAACTTTAAATTAATAATTATATATTGTATAATGAGTTTTGGCTTGGTTCTGCATATTATGTTAAATATAATAGTATATGTATACCTATAAGAAAAGCCAAATTTAAAAAGTAACGTGACCAGAAATTGAGCTGAACTTTAGGATTGGATTTATAAATCTTAAATTTAATAATGGTTACATTTATATACCTAGCCAAATTAATTATTGCATTAAAACACATTCCTCTAAATATGTTTTAAATACTGTTTTCCTTTTATCATAGAATAACCCGTTGTGCAATGAACAATAATTATGCCTACATTATGTATGAAAATAATCAAACGTAATATTTCTATAAACGAAAACAATGTTAACACCTTTTTAATTTTCTGGATGAGACAGCTGGTCGGGCCCATTTATAAATAGTTTTATAATGATAACAAATCGGTCCATTATTACGAGCTATAAAATGATAATTCTCGTGACATGCCTTGGGGTGAAATTGAATTATTTAGATTATGATTATTCGACTACCACTCTTATGGTAATATACATTATAATCTCATATTATCCGATAATGTACAATGTGATTTAAAAACAGAAATTCTACACTGACGGAAGATCTATAAGTTTATGCTGTAGGTATATTCTATATAGGCATTATTTACTGTCGAATGGTATAAAATAAAATTTATATGGGTACAAAATATATTAAACTCTCCAGGTTGGACAGGATTTTTTTTATATAAACCAATATATTATTATAATATCGTAATAAATAAATTCCTTAGTACTTTTTTACAAAACAAACTTGTATAACAGATAAACACATATTAATTTTTACTTTGACTTGAAACAATTTTCGAGAGATATATGCCAAGCATATATTTTTATAGTGAAGACTAGCAGACCCGGCGAACTCCGTTTCGCCACCAGATTCGTTTTATGTTTTTTTTCGTTTGGTGATTAAAATATAAAGAAAAAAAATTTTTTTTTGTTATATATTTGAAAAGGAAAATATTTATTTCATTTCACAACAGTAATAAATTCATTTCAATTACCTACTAAAATGAAGTGTTATTTAATGAACAGTGCTTCATTAGTACTGACGTATCTGCCCATTTGGAAGTTGCTGATTTCGTCATTCACATTTTCCGACGCAATACCAAACACAGCCATGTCGCTGCCTTTTGTGACGTACTTGCACAAATATTTGATTGATTTGGCCGAATGACAACTCTCAACGTTTGCATGTGTTTCGAAAATTCGTGATAGCAGCGGGCAATATGGTACAATGAATTCATTTCCGATCTCAATCTCTTGATTTTGAACTTTAACTTTGATAGTTCGACCGTTATCTTCTTTTGAACGCCGACGATAAACTGGATATCCATCGTTCCCTGTGACTGTTTCAGCAACTAACGGTCGCGGATATCGTTTTGTGCACTTTCCATCAGCCATGCAAGGCGATAATGGATTTAATGCACCGCACGGTCCATGCACCATCTGGGTCGTCACAATGTCGTGTAGACGGGGATCAGTGACTGGATCAGGAATTTCAGCTGATATGATGTCATCCACTTCATTTGAATGTAATTTGTTCAGCAACCAAATTAGGATATGAGCATGCGGTAGTCCACGCTTCTGCCATTCCACCGAGTACATATAACAACGTGTGTCACCAAAAACTCGATACTTAGTAAGCACATCCATCATAACCTTGAGTTTTTGCTGAAATACTCTGGCGATTATGTCATGGCGATCTTGCGGTTTTTGACCTGGTTCCAACTCGCGTTCAATTTCCGTCCACTTCGGATTGCATGTGACCGTAATAAATAAATCCGGAGTTCCATAATTTCGCACGTACGTCATAGCGTCTTGAGCGTATTCGTGCATGTGGCGTGGGCTTCCGATATAAGTTGATGGGAGAACCGTCAGTCGTCCAATATTCTGAACATCACCATCTGAATGAATAGCATCACGCAAGTGTATATAGTCCTCAGATCGTAGCTTTGGCTGATTGAATCTAATGAACGCTAAACGTTCGGTTTCGACTTTGACATACATGTCGACAGCGAATTGCTGGAATAGCCGACCGCACTTCAGAATGGCATTCTCCTCATGTGTACGAATCATCATACGATACGCATAGTAATTCATTGCGCTTAGATTTTTATTATTCGTTGATACTCCTGAAAATGCAAAATTAAATGAATTGTTAATGGAAACCAATAAAAGTAATAATGGAAATAATTAGTGTGTGAATATTGTACCTGTAATTGGATCGACCATCTTCAACGTGATGTCGTATCCGTCTTGCCCTTGCCAATAAATGATTGGATATTGTAACGCATCGTACAAACGATGTGTCTCGTTTACACGATGCATGATATTGCTTCTTCGCTGAACGACAATGTCTCGTGATTTAGTTGGATCGCCAACAATAATTGCAGCAACATCATTAACGGTGGGTGCATTGAATCTTCGCACATGTTCACCTGTTGGAGTACAATCCGCTCTTATGACAAATTTGTGCGTATCCGATGGCATTCGTTCCAATGCTGTTTTGAACATATTAACCACAGCATTATTAGCGTGAAAAAATGCTTGCAACTGTTCAATAATTCGTCTCTTTAACTGTTGTGCTCCCTGTATATTGCACCGCACGTTCAGCTGATCCACCATCGACGAAATGAAATATATTTGCAGAAATTGATGCGGTTCATCTGGTGTGGTTGGCACCATTGAACCATGCAAATGATATATTTGACCTTGTATCTGTAATTGCAAATAATCATTAAAATTTGTTCATGAATACCTTTTAAATCGTGTGTTTGTGTAGTGTGTGGTGTATATGAAGTTGTTATGTGTTGCAATTATGTGTTGGTTATGTGTGTTGTATCTTTTACCTTGCAAGTCGGCATGAAGCCGCCTTCTCGAATGATATTAGCTCTAAAGGAAGTCATGCGAAAGCAGTTATTGTATTCAAGGATGTGTTGAAGAAAATGGCTGGAATCGGGATCACTTCCATCAAACAATGTTTTCAGTGGATGTGGTGGTGTAAGTAATGGATCCAGTTTGACTTTTCCACTTGCGCAGCACAATCCAACCGTTTCTCTTTTGAACTTTAACGCATTGCAATATCGGCATATAGTCGTCATTCGTCCAATATCAAAATTTTCATCATCACTGTAGTTCGCAGTGGGATCATATTGGAATGCCAAGCGATTGTATGATGCCAATGATCTTCGTGTGCTCACGCGATGTCTCAATCGGTCATTTTCTCTTATTATATTTTGTCTTTCTTCTCTTAAGTTCCTTGAATATACTTGTTGCTGGCTTGCATGTCTTGTGCGGCGGCCGATGTTCGCACGTCGTTCTCTAGGCATTTTGGACTATGGACAGAGTGTTGAATTTAACTTCAAATGCACGATCCACATAATTTACATAATTTATTTTAGCTTAAATGAAATTAACTGAGCAGAGAATAATGTAAACAACTATCCGTCAACTATATAATAAACAACTATCCGTCAAACACTTTATCACGCACCGTTGCTATTGGTTTGAAGTACATGCTATGTATAATAGATGGCGCTGTATGTGAAAAACGATTTCCCCACTTTTCTGTTGAATTTTTCCTGAATTTTCCAGAATTTTCTTTGCTATAAACCTCACGGAGCCCAAGACCTTTCCAACGAATGCAAAACCGTGGAAATCGGTTCGTGCGTTCTCGAGTTATAGCGTCAGGGAGGAAAACCGGACTTATTTTTATATAATAGATAATATAATATTAGGTATATTTAATAATAATATATTGCATTACTCTTCAATCAAACGTTTTATGTGATTGTATTGTTTGTGTTATTATAGTTGAAAACAATCTACTTTGAACATTTTTGTTCTAAATGACGTGAAAAGTCACCGCACAATAATATTTTGAAACAACCGATGTCGGAGTAAGATGTGTTTCAAACTTATAATACGAAATGACGTTAAAGACCATTGTGGTCATTTTTTTTCACAGAGTGACCAAAACTATTCGTCTTTTATGAAAGGATTTCAAAAACAATTTTTACCCAACAAACATGAAATGTTGGCACAGAAAAGTAATTGTTTCGTGTTCAGATAAACATGACAGAAATAAATAAATAAAAACCTACAACTTGTGTTGACACGTACTCAAATAAATTACAAAGATAAACCCATCATAGAACTCTATGAAAACTTAATTTGTGTATTGATTTATTGATAAGTTGGATTGGAAAACGTTAAAAACGATATTTCAACAAACTATTTCAATTTTTTTATTGACTATATTAGAAGTCACCGAGGATCCTTAGAGTAATATTAGTCTATCTCATTACAAATATACTATACCAATATCTGTTGATCACGTACGCGTTATCTTAAAATTTAAGACTTGAACACACTTTTACGCTTTATATACGAAGTAAAGTACCTACTTATTAAAGAATAAAAGCATACAATTTTCCGGTTTCCGATGGAAAAACAAAAAAAATAAGAACATCATCATACAATTAATTATTATTATGCTTTATGTAATAATATAAATAATATATCAATATACCTAAACAAATAGACAGTAAGTAGTCAATAACTAGATGCTTGAAACATGGCTCACTTATTGAAAAAGGTTGGTGACCTCTTCTTTATATATTTAAATGCATAGTGTTTCCATAATATTTTCAAATTTGACTGTAAATTAATCTAATATTATTATGTATTCGTTCTAATTGGCAATCACAATAAATCACACACGCCTAATTATAACCATTGTTGATGCATTTAGCATATTGTTATCATTTTTCTTCTAATATGATACGAAATATAAAATATAAATCCATGACAGTTATAATGACAGTTACCAATAGTTATTATTATAGATAGGTAGGTATTATACAGGCAAAAATATAATTTAAATGTAAATAATGTTTGTACACAGACACACGTAATAAGTTGCCACAGTTTGTACATAAATGCAACTATTCATAACGTCATAATCGTTAGTTCATTAGTAAATGTATACATATGTATAATTATATTATATTATATTTGCAAAGAACCCAACATTTTATGCGGAAATAGCCAAGAGCAATATTAAACACGAATAAATTAGCATTTATCAACCTACTGTTGAATTCAATCTTATACCAACAAATATTCGCACCTTCTTGATAACTTCCTAAGATTTACATAATTAAACATATATATATTACGGAATAGTTTTAAAAGATAAATAAAGTACAACTTGAGCGTATTCGAGTAGGTAGGACTTTGATGAATTAACTTGAGTGTAACATTATATATTTTAATAACATAATATTATGTTATTGCATTTGGTCCATATGTAAACAAAACATTGATTTTGCAAAGCAGTTCATGGAGTGCACAATATAACATCATGTTATATAATATTCTATGGGATACAATATGGATTTTCTCATAAGACTCTAACTTTATGAACTTTTTGCCCTTTTTCTACTTATATTATTGTGCATATTGTGCCGCAATTCCTTAAACAAATATTCGACTCGGGTAAAAGAAAACATACGAGGCTTTACTTTTTATGCATTCGTCGTTTATTTCCGTTACTTCGTGTCAGAAAAGGATTTTGATAAAAGCATCTGCACTAAAAAAAAAAAAAAACAAGTGCTATTTTTTTACCTCTTTTATAGGCTCAAAAACTGTAAGCCCCGGACAAGTACGAAATGTAAATGTACAGAACCAATTATAAGCCTGACGTATAATTGAAAGTCATTTTCGAAAGCTCTTTCATGTTGAAGCATAATAGTCGGAAGCAGTAATATTACGAAGAACTTTGGCCGTTCTTTGAAGAAAAATTAAAAAAAATCTGACATTTTATTCGAACATTAATTTATTTCTAGTTGTCTAGAAAACAAACGAAAAAAAAACTGAATAATTATTTGTGCCGTTATTTTTTTTTAGTCAAAGTATTTCAGTCGGATTCCAAAGTTTTACTTTAGATATTTCACCGAGGGACCCAAGACTATAAGTTCCAATTATATTATTTACAACATTTAATCATAAACTTTAAGTCATATTAACGTTTTCTACTGTTCATGGTGAATGTGTGGGACCCATAACAGAGTTCTGATAATAGGCACCAAGGTATTAAATTTACTTCGATTGTTTTTTATTATTATTATTATCGATCTGAAACTTCAGCAGCTAAGTCCATTAGTTTTTCAAATGTTAATACAACGTTTTTAATTAGAGAGCGGATTTATATACGTTGAAAACCAACCAACTATGCACTAAAATGTTGAAATATACATGAAAAATAAAAAAATATTCATACAAATATTAGCAAAATTATTTTTTGAAGATTTAATTAAAACAATATATTAAGTAATAAACACGTGAATTACGACTGAAAGCAAATACGGAAATAATGTGCATAGACCTATTATTTAGTTAATAGGTCTGTGATAATATCAATGGTCAATGGATAATTTCTTATCATGGTATACGTATTTTATTTCACCGATTACTGATCTATTACTTATATCATACGATCAACAAAAATAAATATTCAGATGCATGCAAATCCGCTCTATATTTATAATATTACAATATAACATCAGATGACATTATATATTTTTTGTAATGTATTTATATACATTATGTACATGGGAAAAATATTATTTCTAAATTTGTGTGTTCGGTCA